GTGTGCGACGTTCTGCCTGTCGGGGACCGCGGGCGCCGTCTTCAGCCATGGGGTAAGTAACGGGGATACCAGGGGGTGTGTCCGATACCTGTGATGGTAGGGGGGCTCTCCCCTCAAGGGAGGAGGGAGTCAAGGTAAGGGGAGAGCCGTCGCAGGGGGCAGAGGGCTGCGGGGTCTTTCCCCGCCGCTGATTTATACTCGAGAGTCAGTTTTTACGGTTGATCTTCGCCACACTGCTGCAGGGCTGTTGGAGGAGGAGGGGGGGGGCAGTACTGTGGGAGATCTCCCACCTCCCCGTCTGAGCCGTGGAGGTTCACATTATCTGATCGCTCTCGATTGAGATTTCCGCGACTTTGTCATGGAGGGCTTTTCTGTCGCCCGCACCGGGTCCTCGCACCGTCATGGCGCCCCCGCTCCAGTTCTCATGCCACGCTGCCACATGACCTCGCGTTGGCATGGCGCTCAGCTGGCATGGCGCTCAGCTGGCCCGGGATGCCGTGTGAGATCGCCACGCGCTCGTAAATCAGCTCGGCCGACTCTGCAGTTGTGATTCCTGCAGAGGGTGGTCGTGGGGTGGTCACGTGAACCCCGCTGCTGGTCCATGCAGTGCTGGTGGGAAGCGTCTCGACCGAGCCGTGCGAATCGGTGCAGACTGCTGGGGGGTCTCTGTACGCGCAGCCTGGCCGGACTCTCCAAGCTTGTGGACCGTGGTCTGTGTTTTCCAGCTGGTTCTGGGTTTCTCAGAGTTCCTTGCTAAAGTGAGCACATGAACATGTGGGCCATAGCTTTTTTTGGGGGGGGGGGAGTTTTGTATCAGGAACTGCATCCTGCTCTGCATGTTCAGGATCACGGTCACAGACTGGACCACAGCAAACACGGGCCAGGAACACCAAGCACACTGATACAGGGAAAGTGTGTGTGTGGGGAGGGGGGGGTAATTGAGCAAAACAGCCCCTCCCTTCATTTTTTTTACCTTCACCATCTTTCTATCTAACGCAGCAGGATTTCCCTGAGGTAGGTTTCGAACGCAGAGGGGGGCGGATTTATGTGTGTGGAGGGCCACCGTTCAGCAGGTTATAGGGAAGACATCTTAACTGACACCTGACTGAACGTGACACAGGTGACTGACTGTCCAGGTAATTGTTTTAACGAGTCAATTAAGATCTGAAGTTCAGCAAAAATCCTGAAGGAGCTGGAGCTCCGGGGCTGAACCTCATGGGTTTGCTGGCTCAGGCAGCGTTAGAGGTAACGGGTGAACACAGTGATCATCACGCATCACGTCGAGATCCTGCCAAGGGAGGAACATGCTCAGCCTCTGTGATGGATGTGGCTTGTGGGCTTGCAACAAGCATGACACTGAAACAGGGCTTGACATTCGCAGCACAGTCCGGCTGGTAGATCCTGTTACTTGCAGCGTGCGTGATGGTAGGATGTGTCTCTGCTGAGTGATGGGAGGTGTGTTTCTCAAGGGTCGACATGTGGGCTGGATAGGTACTGGAGAGTGTAGAGGGCTTGTTGGATAGGTACTGGAGAGTGTAGAGGGCTTGTTGGATAGGTACTGGAGAGTGTAGTGGGCTTGTTGGATAGGTACTGGAAAGTGTAGTGGGCTTGTTATTGAGACATAAGTGGTATAGAAAGTTTCACCTGATAGAGGCTTTTGAGTAACATTGTTTTGTGCTACTTGTGGGAATTCTACTTACACAAAAATGTTCTGAGGGCAGAACGAAAAATGATTGGTTCAGAGAGATAACCAGTCAGATTGTAGAGGAGGCAGTGCCAAGACATCTGATTGGTTAGTCTGACCTACATCTGACCAATATTTAATTGGTTATTTCTCTGCACCAATCACTTTTTGTTCTGCCCTTAGAACATTTTTGTGTAAGTAAAACTCCCACACGCAGTTGTGATCCTTATAGTGTTGGCTTGATTGATAAACCCACGTTTGACTAGTGCTGCGAGTGATTTTGTAGATGTCTTATTAAGCCTCTGTCTCTGAGGGTGTGAAGAGATAAATGCCGGACAGAACTGACAGAAACCATAAATCTCATCCTTAGACAATGAGATTAAACAGACCTTCACCTGCTGCATTAAAGAATTTGTAGATGGATCACTCTCTTTCCTGTTATCACTCTGCACTGTTCCATCAGATTGGATCTGATTTAACGTCTGCAAAGGAAGGGTCTGTCACACATAGGTGATGAAAACGTCCTCGTGCGACGGCAGATCGAGGGTCACCTTTAGTAAAAGACCAGGACCTGCCACTCACTTAAATAAGGTGCCGGTTCTTCAAGCAATATTTTTATTTGTGTTTGTAATTTCAGAGAGAAATAATCTCTAACTCTTATCTGTGCCTGGCTATATTCTCACATGCCTTTCTTCAGGAATTTAAAATTTGCCCAACCAGGCCAAATAAAGTTGGACGACATGCAGGCTTACAGAACATCGCACACAAATATGGCACTGAATGTATCCTGCTCTGCTCCTATCTGTGTCCCTCTGTTTCTCTGGTGAAAGGAAACCCGGGGGACTGTATCTCTTGATTAATGGGGAGGGTCAAAGGTTCGAGCTGGATTGTGCCTTTAAGGCACATTTGAAAACGAGCTCCATGATGGGAATTTACAAACAGAGTCCATATGCTGTTCATCACAACATAATTACTGTCATCAGAAGGGGAGGACGATGAAACTCTCACGTCTGTGTACAGTCAATCCCTGTGTTTGTAAAATATTTGAGCAGCATTTCACAGTACTCATATGCCTTTTCAGTCTGACTGCATTGGTTATTAAAATTGGTTATTAATAAGAAAA